CTAGAGTGAGCGGAGGCCGGCTTGAGTGAGCGGATATCGTCCTCTTTTGGAAGACCAAACAAAGTAGCTTCGATTTCACAACAAAGTACACAGCGTCTTCAGGACATGGCGGCAGTGGCAACAACAATACTACAGTGAGAATAAAAGTTACGCCTTCTTTCTTTGCGTGAACATTTGGGCGGCGTTATGCAAATCTTCCCGCATAGTGAGGTAGATATGTGGGGGCGTGTTCGAACGAGCCATTTTAGGTAGGTGTGGCTAACTCTGAACTTTTATAAAGAATATCTCTTTGGATTTGAGACTTTAGTCTTTGCAAATTTACAGATCTTCTTTATGCACCAAGAGCTTGTAACACTCCAAAGAGAAAGGAAAAAATGAAATCGCATCATATGACCCCTTTAATCAATTTTGATGTAAAAGCATATTAATTTTCAAGTAGGAAAGAAATTTTCAAATGGCCTATGACCACAGGTTGCATCACTGATAATGCGTCTTGAGTGCAACAGAAGATCATCTTTCACCTTAGATGAGTTGAAATATGAGTTAAATAATGCCACTGGATGAAGAGCTTCAGATTGAAGTCCAACTAAACATTCTCAGTAACAGATGAGTCTCAAACATTTTTTTTTATGGCTCAGTTCCCAACAGGTTAAATGTAATCACTGCAGTGAATAATTAACTTCTGCATCGTGCATATTCGCTGGAGTGTTTTGGCTGAGCCAAAGTGCTAAAATTGTTTTAAACTAGCTATGTGTTTTAAATGTTCAAGATCACACTTGATCAAAGTAGCAATTGTGTGGGAGGATCTGAATATCTGTATCTGATTATCACATTGCTGATGCTGCTTGACATTTAAAAACCAGAAATGGACACTGTCACTAAATCAGAATCTTTTGCTCCTAAATAAATAGATTTTCATTTTAAATTGAAATACTATTTTTTGTATTTTTAATAACAAGAGTTAAAACTATTGCATACTGTAAATGTAAGTAAATGTACATTGTAAAATGTCAATATTGAATCTAATCAGTAACCACCAACATCTGTAACATTTAGTAAAGGTGGTTATGTAAACTTTAATCAAAACCGTCTGCCTATGACAGTTCATTGCCCCATTATGCACAGCCAATAAGATTAAATTCTTAACCAAGGCCAACACTTACTTGACCAATGCTGTTATGGTTTTTAGTTTACAGTAATTTATGTAAGTTCTCTTGTAGGCTTTGTAATAAAGGCAGCCTTGCGCTGTGCCACTCAACAACAACTATACTCCTTTATCTCTACTTTTTTTTATGACTATATGTGGCCATAAAGTAGTTATGTAATGTTTGAATTGTTCTGAGGGTTTCTTAAGTGCAAAATGTGTATCACATCCTGGTGCATCTGTGATTGCCATTTTCAATAATAAACAGATAAAAATACATTTATTCTTGATGCCATTGATAGTGTGACACGTTTGTCATGGAATGTGATATAAACATGAGTATGAAAAAGTCTCAATCCCACAATCACAGTGGCTCAGTCGGCTGAGTGACCACATCATGTACAGAGACTAAAGTGATGGGCAAAGAGAGGCCAAGAGTTCATTTACTCAGGTCAGGACTTCAAGTTAATGATTATTCATATTGCCTGTCACAGTGAACCTTCCAAAGGAAATGCAATCGGTTCAGGATGTCTAATTCTGATAGACTGTGAGCAAGCCGAGGAACTTTTGAAAACCCTATTCACGTTAATGATCAAGAGGAAAATCTTACCTGAATGAATCATACCAATCGTTTTTGTAATGTTTAGGCCATTGTGCTGTATCTGTATTTGTATCTGTTGAATCATTAAATACCTGCTACATTAACATTTACATCCCATTTCTTCATTCAAACTTGTTTTAACTGCATTCCAATCAGCCTGGTTTTCTTTTGCATTCTTGAGTGTCAAAACTATTTTTAATTTACATAAAACAATGAATTCATAACTGCTTTGGACTGAGATTGAGCAGGGTTTACCAAATGAGGCTTGAGAGATTGTGATTGAAATGCTGAAAATGATTCAGTGGGATTTATCATTTTATTTGTTATGATTATGATAATTATAGTTTAGCATAATTTGTTCCAGCCAAAACATAAAGAAAAAAAGTTGGCTTTTTTCATATTATGATGTATTTATTTATTTCCGCAAAATATTTATTATTAATATTGTTAATGTTATTAATAATGTCCTGTTACCCACGTTATTGTAAGAAAAAATTTCGAACAAATGAAATGTTCTTTAATTTATGGTAATATAAGAGTAACTACAAACCTACATTTGGTCCCAAACTAGTTTCATTTGTTGAGGTTTATTTAAAATAAAATAAAATAGATTTTGATCTCCTGAGGTTAACAGTCAAAATTTTCAGAAGGTTAAGCACCTCTTGAGCAACTTGTTGAGACAAAAATAAATAAATAAAAGTTAGGCTACAACAATAATAATAATTTAAAATATATGTTTATTAATATATATAAATAAGCGAAGTAATAAAGTATTAAAAGAGCTCTATATAAGACCAAAAATAATTCCTGAATCTTAAGTGGTGTTGGTAACACAGTGTTTCTTTGCGTTTTCCAAGATTTTGCTTTAAAATATTCAGCTTCACCACATATTAACAGGCATAGCTTATGTCAGCATAATATCACATTCCAGTGATTCGCTGGTCATTATGAGTCATATCTGAGCGAAGCTCGGGGAATAAGCTTATGTTTAAACACAGATGTGTTTATCCTCCATGTTCTGTTTTTGTTACACACTGTAAAGCCAGTCTTACCTGTTTGTGTGTTTTCATTCGCTTACGTATTTGCTAAACAACAAAATCATAAACCCTCAAAACTTTCCCGGAACGTCTGAAAATTAAGTAGGCTATAATTTTCAGGATTTCTATTCACACGAGCCTTATGACCACTAGGTGGCAGTGAGTGATCAGGTATATTGAAAACAACAATCCAGCGCTACACCAGTATCAGTCCATCAGCATTGTAAAGATGATGTAAAATATCCAAGCTACGTTCTAACATTTATTTTAATAAATGCATACTTAATTTAAATCTTTTTGAAATTATATTCAATGCAGGATTGTTTTATTTGATGTTTGGGATGTTTGAGTATTTTTAAATACATTGAAAAATGTTCATGTTGTGAGTTTGGACATTGTTTATCATCCTTAAATAGTCTTAAATCAGGGAATTTCTGACAAAAGTTATGAACCCTTGTGATTTTTTTTTTTATTATATTTTTTTTAGGAAGTGGTCCTCCAGCCATTAAATTTGCATGCCATCATATCAGTCATGCCAAATAGTCACTCTTTGGTTACTGTATTAGTTGTGAGTGCTGTATAGTCAGATTTGCAGATTCACTTCACTGTAAGAGAATGTTTATATGAAGACTTAACCTTTTTTGTGATCATGTTAGAAAGTTCCCTTAACTTTTGTTCAAGGAAATTCAGTTTCACTGTACAAATCTGAGCTCATACTATATATATATGTATATATATGGTTTAGTGTCTTTCTTCATTAGAGTGTTAAAATTCTTGAGGCCACTTGCCTCAGAGGACGTGCACAACGAAAGGTGCATCGCATTAAAAAAAAACAGCAAAATAGCCTTTGTGGGTATGATATGTTTCCGTTTGTTCACACCTCATCTGCCATGCAGCATGACTTTTTTTTTTTTTTTACTTAAAAAGCCTGTTTAAGCTCTGTATAAACTTCTGTCAACCTCGTACAAAAGAAATCTCAGTCAAAAAAGATGAACCTAAACACTTTAATCTAGTTATGAGCACATTACCATAGATAGATAGATAGATAGATAGTGATTTTCAGTTTTATTTATTTAATTTTTTACCACAGTATTTACTTTGTACTCCAATGTACTATGGTACATCGTACATGTTAAAAAAACATTCACTGACTTTTTCTAAACTAGTTACATGTTTTCCACAGTCCTACATGCTCATGGTCACGAACGTCACTATGGAGAACTGAGTTATTTTGCCGGGTTTTTGTGCGACAGGTACATTTTTCTCCTTAGTAATCACCCCAGCAACAACAAACAGCGCCGCCCCGGCCAATGAGCTTGTGCAGCCGCCTCTGTCCTCACTTCCTCCGGCTGCGCTGCGCTGGGTTTGGTTTGGCACCATCAGCCAGCACGCAGCCATCTTGGACTGAGCTCTATCTGGACTGGCGAACCCCACACTTCTGGATGGGAGGAATTTAATCAACCTGGAGTGATTTAGAGCAGATTGTCTGGAGCCAAGGGACGAAACTGCGCATTCAGAAAGCTTACATCAAGATCCAGAATCGGTTTTAAGCGGACGCCCCCCTCCCCTTTTCCTTGTATGAACGCTGTGTGCAGTTTCTGAGGGGCCTGGGAACTGTTTGTGCTTGAGTTTACAATAGGCACTTTTGGCAAAGTTTGTTAAAGTAATCCAGTGCAGCATATTGGTTATGACATGCTGGTTGCCAGATCTTTGTGGAGAGTTGCTCCTTTGTGTCACCGGTGACCTGTTGTGCCGTTATGCGTCTGGATAAATTATTGCATTAATCTGGATCTTTTATTTGTGCTGGAATTTGCTGTTGATGTCGATCGAATCCATGATCTTCATCAGCTGGTGCCCGGCAGCTGTCCACCCGGCGAACTGAAGCTTGCTGTGATCAGACAGACTTGGACTGCAGGAACCACTTTGGAGATAAAAGACCTATTAAAATGTCAACTCGAACACCACTGCCTACTGTCAATGAGAGAGATACAGAAAACGTGAGTATGAATTCCATTGAGGTTCACTGGAATTTCTTAGTATTTCACAGCCTTCATTTGGCTGTAAAATTCATATCCACTTTTAAACTTTAGGGCGGGCGGACTCGCGTTACATATGTTGATGATGACACCGTTAGCAGGGTTGTGAATGTGTTTCCCACAGTTGTGACATTCTCTAAAGTTAGGGATCTCATGTTTTTACAGCGCTTCATAGGCAAGTAGTGTGTTTCGTCGCCGGCGTGACACAGTTTTAAAAGAATAAACATCAGCAGGCATGACGACGTGATTTACAAGCATGTACACTCTTTAAAGTATTTTTTGTAATATTGTTTATACCTCCCCCTAGCATTTAAATGTTGTTTTGTATTTATATTAATTGTTTTTTATATTTTCTTCAATTTAAAAAAGTCATGACGGCGTGACTCTCACGCGAGAACCGTCAAGTCACCCTCACGCGACTTCCTGTAACAATATTTCCGCTGGAGTGATGCAGTGTAGCGTATTTCTGCTGATATCATATTATTTCCGCTACAATGATACGTTGTTACGATATTTCTGCTACAGAGGTACAGTGTAACAAATGTTCTGCTATAGTGTTTACACTGTATTTCCACTACAATGATAATTTGTAACAATGTTAATGCTACAGAGGTACAGTTAGGCCTGTCACGATAACAACTTTTTGTTGTAAGATATATTGCCCCAGAAATAATTGCGATAAGCGATATTATTGTCATTTTAAAGACCATTTTATGCCACTGAATATATAACCATAATGTAACAGCATAATAATGCAAGAAGGCCTACACACTTCCAAATGACAACAAACTTTTACTTTTTAATAATATTTAGATTATGGAAAATAAGTATCAAAATATTAGATACCTTAAAAAACCTGAATAAATAGTAAATAAGTAAATATAATGGGCGATATATTGCGTCACCAAAAATTATTGAGGTCATGTACATATATTGCGCAATAAGTCGATATATTGATTATTGCGACAGGCCTAGGTACAGTGTAACAATGTTTATTATAGTGTGAAGCATTGTTTCTGCTCAAATGTAATCTTTTTCACTACAATGATTCAGTGTGACAATATTTCAGCAACATTGTAACAGTATTTTCATTCCAATTTTAGAGACAATATTTCAAATATAATGATATTTAACCATATTTCCAGTACAGCATAACAGTATTTCCACTAAACTGATTCAGTGTAACATTTTTTCTGTTACAGATCACATAATGATACAGTGTAGCAGTATTTCTGCTAGTGATAATGTTACACTGTATTTTCACTACAATGATACTTTGTCACAACATTTTTGCTACAGAGATACAGTGTAACAATGTTTCCTATAGTGTGAAAAACATTGTTTCCGCTCAAATGTAGTCTTTTTTTCACTACAGTGATAAAGTGTAACGATATTTTGGTTACAGTGTAACAGTATTTCCACTACATTTTTACTGAGTAGCAGTATTTTCATTATGAAAATATTTAACAATATTTCCAATTTAGGCTAGCTTATCAGTGTTTCCACTGAACTGACACAAAGTAACATTATTCTGCTACAGATTACACAATGATACAATGTATCAGTATTTCTGTTAGTGATAATGTTACACTGTATTTTTATTACAATGATACATTGTAACAATATTTTCACAACAGAGGTAGTGTAACAATGTCTCTTATAGTGTGAAGCATTGTTTCTGCTCAAGTGTAATCTGTTTTTTACTACAATGATGAAGTGTGACAATATTTCAAATATAATGATATTTAAAGGGGTCATATGATGCTTTTTTAAAGATCATTATTTTGTGTATTTGGTGTAACAGAATATGTTGACATGCTTTAATGTTCAAAAAACACATTATTTTTCAAATACTGTACATTATTGTAGGTCCTCTATGCCCCGCCTCTCTCAAACGCTTCGTTTTCTACAAAGCCCCCTCCTTAATATCTCTTTGGTTTTGAGACTTTAGTCTTTGCAACTTCAGGGATCTTATCTATGCACAATCAGCTTGTAACACTCCAAAGAGAAAGGAAAACTTGAAATCGCATCATATGACCCCTTTAACAATATTTCCAGTACAGCATAACAATATTTCCACTAAACTGATTCAATATAACATTTTTGTTACAGATCACATAATGATACAGTGTAGTTGCAGTATTTCTGCTAGTGATATTGTTACACTGTATTTCCACTACAATGAAACTTTGTAGCAATATTTTCACTACAGAGGTACAGTGTAACAATGTTTCCTATAGTGTGAAATACTGTAATGTTCCACTCAGCATGCCACATACACCAGTGGAAGCTGGCATCTTTTCAAAGTTTAGAGACAATTCTTATAGTTCAGGTGTAAATTTATATGGATATATATATATATATATATGTATGTATGTGTGTGTGTTTTTTGTTTTAGCTGCAATTTTTTTTTGCAGTTCACATAGACAGTGCTGTAATCTGGTAATAATTTAAAAGTACAAATATTCCATGTGAGCAATCAATTAATAGGAGGTCATACAAACTGCATGCATGACAATAATACAAGAATTTTGAAAAATGTTGATTCAAATAGCACTGCATAACACTACTTGACAGTAACATTTTGCAGTGATGTGCAGTGTTTAAATTGCATCCATAATAATAATAAACTGAAAACAGAATATCGAATGCTCCACTCATGTGAAATGCACTTTAAATTACAGTATCTATAAAAAGCGCTGTATAAATGAAGTTTATTGTGCTGGAGCTCTTGTGCGTCATTGGTTAGAAAAGGGACACACAGATAAGTGAGGAGACCTTACCTGCCTGATTATGCAGTCTCACCACTGGTTAGTCCTTGAGTGACGACTATTCCCTTCTTTGCTACCCAGAGAGAGTTAGAGAGAAAGAGAGAGAGAGAAGGCTCAAATCCTCTGTACCCATTGGACATCTAACGACAAGTGTCGGAAATGTTTTCATGCTCCTCTGAGCATTGGTTTGTGCCAGGCGATCAATGAGCTGTCAGCATCACAAAAACGGACCGACTGTCAGTTTCGACGCCATTCAGATCGCCAATGCTAGAATGAAGGGCTCCCACTCTGTCAAGAGGCACCGCATAACTATAGTAAGTGCTAATTACTCATTCTAATTAGGATGATTAAATTTAGAATAGAAGGAAAAGGCCGTTTGTAATGAGGCTGTTGTAATGTGCAAAGCCATTGAGAGTCAGAAAGGAAGCAGATTTGTTGACACAGGAAGGTTTTAATGTGTAATGCACTTGAAACCGGTCCAGGTTGTGAGATTTTAGAGCATATTTGGCAAATGTTTAATCAGAACAACAGTGAATGTTGTGATTAGCCCCTCAAATGGTGTAAAACCAGATTGATTTTGTTGTAACACTGTGGCTGCATCAGATATTGACTGAAGTTGTATTGAGACATTTAAAATGAAACTATGTTGAGATCTTATCAGCAACAACAATGTTATTATAGGCGGTTTTCATGTTGTGATAGAGAAATATTACTCTGTGCTCTAGAATGTCCTAGATGAGAGCGTTTGTCCTAGAGGGAGAATTTAGGACACAGTCTTTTTAAGGATCTCTCATGGTCCTAAATAATGATTTCAAATGATTTTGCACTGCAAACTCCAGTTAACATACTTCAGACTTCTCGTTTGATGTTTTTTTTTAATGCAGTCATTCATGCATTTAAGATTTAAGTGTTCAGTCTCTTATTAGTAAAAAAAATAGCACTAACTCAACACCTGCTTTTGTACAAATCACAGCTAGTTTGAATAAGGTTTTGTACCTGATAAACTTACGTTCCTCAGATTGGCCATTGAAAATTGTTTGCTAATCTAGTCTAATCTAGGTTACCATTTTAAATGTAAACATTAAATTAATTTTTTTAATTTAATATTGTGTTTAATGTTAGGTTTGAATATAGGGGTTAGACTTTTTAAATCCCCCTGTTTAGATGGTAAATGTATCCTTATTTTATCAAGTCAAGTTAACCAGTTCCTATTTACTGTGATTTTATTCATCGAATGAGTCTGACATTTGTAGTTACCAGTGTTCATTTTGACAGCATATTTTGATTTAGTTTTAGTCATAGTCTTTTTACTAAAATGCCATTTAGTTTTAGTCATATTTTAGTCATCTGAATTGTTTTTAGTTTTAGTCTATTTTTAGTTGACTAAATATCATAAGATTTTAGCCGACTAAATTACAGTAAATTTAGTCGGCTCAAATCTAATGGCTTTAGTTACAGTGTAATGCATTTATTAAGCATTTCTCTAAAATTTCCAAACTCATTATATAGGTTTGATATTAAGGTTTTATCATGATAGACACCGATTTAACTGCTGTGACACACAACATGCCTTTATGTTAAAATTAAATAAAACCACGTCTCATAAAGAACAAGAATATGGTCTACTTTTTAATGAAATACCAATGGTTATATCGGCTAATTATGCATTCTTTATAGCAACTTGTTTACCATATTCTTCAGACATATTTATTTATATAAATACATTTAGATTAATCTTTAAGGCTACTAAAGTTTTTCAGTCAAGAGCAGTGCGTGATTTTCTGTCTTTCTTTTGTTGCTTGATTAACATCAATGACTCGGACAATAGCAACTAAAATAGGCTGCTGTCCCTTTAAAACCAAATGCACGGCTGCAATGGATGCAATGTACTGATACACGTTCTCTACCTACTGTTTACGTTCACTTAAGACGTAATCAACTGTGTTTACGTGAATACTCGTCAAAACGCACAATTCGACATCATTTTGTGTGTAATTCTCCGTTCATGCGACGCGAAAGAGTACTCGTGCGCTGTGAGACGCACTTTGTGTGTACAGTGTCTGCGCTTAGAAAACCGGACCGAATTGAGTTCACTCTTGCGTCGTCTGATTTATCCATACGTCTGCTCTTCTCTTACTCCCACATATTGACATTTTTGAACGTTTTAGGAGACGTGCAGCAAGTGTATGTTATCTTATGTCCCGCCGGTTCATATGTACGCATCTAACCTCCTAACTATGCAGCAGATTCGTTCTGAA